CTATTAACCCCGGAACCGACGGACGGCCAAAACCCGGGATCTCCGTTGGGGGCGTTAAGGAACGGGAGGGGTCCCGAGAAAAGGAAGGGGTGAGGAGGGAGGGGGGTCCCGTCGGGTAAGAGCGCAGTGCCCCCGCCCAACTCCCCGGCCCCGCACTCACCCAGAAGATAAAGTTAAAGATGAACACCAAAAACTTCACGCACTTCATTCCGCCCTCCACCGCCATGGCGAATCCTGCGGGAAGCGCCGATCCCTTTTACGGCACCGAACCGGGCCGTCCCGTGCAGACCGCAGCCCCGGTACCTCGATCCTTCCCCCCCCCGGGGGGGGGGGGGGGGCCCGGGGCCCCACCCACCGCGCTCCGCTCCCGTTCTCCCAGTCCCACCGCCGTCGCTCCGCTACCAGGACCGGTACCGCTTCCTTCCCCCGTCCCCAGGACCCCTCCCGGTACCGCAGCCCCGCGCTCCGGTTCCGATCCCGGTTCCGATCCCGCTCCCGGTGCCGCTCCCCCGCCCCGGGCACTCACCGGCGCCGCCGTTCCTCCTTGTGCTCTCCGGTCATGTGACGGAGCCCCAGCGGCAGTCAACAGGAAACCCCGGTCCCGCCCCGCCCCGCCCCGGTCCCGCCCAACCCCCCTTCACCCCCCCTTTCGCCCCATCGGCGCTCCGCGGGATGGACAGAGACGGAGGCGACGCGGAGCCTTTAATGATGCGGAGCGGCACTCAGCCCCGGGGCCCCCACGTCCCCTCTGCCCCACCGGCACCGTGGTGGCACCGCTCCGCGCCCCTCTGTCCCCTCATGGGGTCCCAGCCACCCCACACCCCACCTGCCCCACTTTAAAGGTCCCCACCACCCCATGTCCCACACCCCGAGGTCCTGCCACCCACGTGTCACTTCTCCATGTGTCACCTTTGTGTCCCCCCCATCCCATGCTGAGCACCCCAGTGTCTCCAACACCCCATGCCCCATACCCTGGCACTCTGGTCACTAGCTGTCACTGCCCCATGCCCCTTGGGTCCCTTGCCACGGGGTCCCAGCTGCCCCACACCCCTCTGCCCCACTTTAAGGGTCCCCACCACCCCATGTCCCACACCCTGGGGTCCTGCCATTCAGGCGTCACCTCTCTGTGCCCCTTTGTCCCTGCTACCCCACATCTGCTGTCTCATCACCCGCATCCCTGCCCCACACCCTGCCCCCCAACCCCAACCCCTCCCCGTTCAAAGGCCCGGCACAGCGGCCAGCACCTCCAGCACTGCCTCCAAGTGCTGGGGGTGCACATAGGCCACCAGCCCCCCTAGGTTAGCCCAACGCTCAGGCCCCACTGCCCCCTCAGCCGGGCAGTTGTAGGTCAGTTGGGGGGGCGTCCTCGTGTCCCCCTCCCTCCGTGCCCTCAGGGCATCCCGCAGGGCCACCACACCGCCCCCTAGAGCACACAGGATGGCGTGGGGGGCACAGGCGTCCCATGCAAAGGTGCTCCCCCCCGAGAGGACGTAGGCATCCGCGCGTCCCAGGATGACACACAGCATCTTGTAACCGGCACCGGCAGCGAAATGGAGGTGACCCCCACTGAGTGAGGCCAGGGCATCCCGCACCCCCTGCGCCTCTGCCCGGCTCAGCACCACACGGGGAGGGGGTTGCGGTGGTGGGGGGCGGCTCAGAGAGGAGAGGTGGGTGCCTCGGTAGGCGATTCCCCAATGGTAGCGGCCCTGCCACCTGCGGGGTGAGGATACACCGATGGCCATCGCGGCTCTGCCAGGATGGGGACACCGAGGGGAGACCCCTCACGATGTCCCCACCGCGGCCACGGCGAGGTGTGAGAGTCCCCCCCACGTACCCACGTGTCTGGGGGTGGCGGCGGTGGAAAGGCTCGTTGATGACACCCAGCACGGGGCGACCGCTGCTGCGTTCATAGGCACCGATGAGCACCAGCGCCGAGCAGAGCCCCGACGGCGCGATGCCATCCTGGGGGACAACATCCTCCCGCCCCACGATGTACTCGTTGGTGGAATCTGCACACACAGCGCCGTCACCATCACCGCACAGCCGCGGCGTGCAGGGGGATCGCAGCCCGACTCGGTGCCCCCTCACCGATGGGATCGATCCACACGGCGACATCCCCGGGGTCGATGCTGACGGTGACGCCATCCAGCGCCGCGTCCCCGACTGCCACCTCCCGGTGCGCCGCGGCCGCCAGCAGCTCCGCCGCCTCCCGTTCGGGGTGCAGCACGGAGCCCAGCAGCGCTGCCGTTTCACTCACCGTGCCGCACACCCGCACCGCCACCGTGTCCCCTGAACGGCACCGTGCTGTCAGCGCGATCCCCGAGGCTGGGGGGGGGGGGAGGGGCTCCGTGCCCACCCCCTCCCCACGCCCCCCAGCCTCACTCACCGTTGGCGTTGGTGAACTCGTTGGACTCTTCGCCGCCGATGTGGCCGCGCAGCTCAGGGAACTGCAGGGACGGCATCACTCAGCAGCGCTCCCACATCCCCAAATTCGGGGACAGCTCTTAGCACAGAGACCCCCAAATCTGGGCTCCCTTACCCCCAGCCAACCCTCACCTTGGTGCCCAGGTCGTGCCGGATGACCTCCTGGATGAGGACATCTGCCAGAGTCTTGAAGTCGTGGGAGAAGCGCTGGTTCCGATCCGCTCCGGTTTTCTCGGCCACCAGCAGTCGGAAGAGCGGCTCGGCGTCCCGGCACAGCCGTGCGATCTCAGCTGCCTTCTCCGAGGCGCCCAGAACGGCCTTCAGCAGCGCGGCCATGGCTGGAGACACTGCTCAGTATCGCCCCGGAGCCCCCGGCCCCTCACTGCAGGGTGTGTGGGGATGAGAGCGGCCTGGCCCCACGGTGCGTCCCTGGGGTGGGGGGTGGGGTGGGGGGTGCAAGCAGCAGGGACGGCCCAGATGTTGGGACAGCGATTGCCCAGATGTGGGAACAGAGATGGCCCAGATGTGGGGAGGGGGATGGCAAAGGAATGGGAATAGGAACAGCCCAGATGTGGGGATAGGAATGGTCTAGATGTGGGAACAAATATGGCCCAGATGTGGGGATGGGGAGGCACAGATATGGGGATAGGGATGGTCAAGATGTGAGGGCAGGAGCAGCCCAGATGTGGGGATAGGAAAGGTACAGATGTGAGGACAGAGATGGTCCAGATGTGGGGATGGGGAGGCACAGGTATAGGGATAGGAATGGTCCAGGTGTGGGGAAAGGAACAACTCAGATGTGGGGACAGGAATGGTCTAGTGCGGCTATAGAGACAGCACAGATTTGGGGACAGAGATTGCCCAGATGTGGGGATGGGGATGGTCCAGATGTGGGGATGGGGATGGTCCAGATGTGGGGACAGGAATGGCACAGGTATGAAGATGGGGATGCTCCAGGTGTGGGAACAGAGACAGCACAGACATCGGGACAGGGATGGCCTAGGTATGGGGATGGGGTCTGTTCAGATGTGGGGACAGGGATGGCCAAAATGTGAGTAGAGGGATGGCCCAGATGTGGGGACAGAGATGGGGTCAGGGATGGGGCTGGAGATGCAAATGGATGTGAATGAAAACATGGCCATGAATGGGAAGAGGGACGGGGCTGGGGACAAGGAAAGGGACATGGATGGGGACGTGGCCACGGATGGGGGCAAGAATGTAGGTAGGGACAGGGATGTGGATACAGGAAGGGACACGAGGGGGTGTAGCTTTAGATAACAGGGAGGCGGACAAGGATGTGAACGAGGCCGTGGCCACGGACGGGGATGAGGACACGCGTGGGGACAGTGCTGGGGATGGGGACACAAATGGGGCCGCGGTGATGGATGAGGACAGTGCTGGGGACGTGGACAGGAATGCGAGCCGGGACAGGAATGGGGACGTGGCCGTGGACGTGGCTGGGGACGTGGCCGGGGGCTTTTCTCCTCCCACCACATCCACGCTGCCCCACGGCCGCGGGCTGAGCTCAGCCCCCCCTCATCCCACACA